CTTTAGGGCAACCTGGAGGAGGGTTTACCTTCGTCCATATTGGCCTTCCTTTGATTTCAGTTCACTGGAATCACGTTTCTTTATGGTTTTTCTTTTTTTATTGAAAAGTTTTATAAAAGTTACAATATAAACCCCAAAACCCACCCACCCTAAACCCCCCCTCCCTCCCCCGCTTCCCAGAGCTGAATACAGGGTTACAAATATAATAATCATAATCTAACTAACATTAACCACTATATAAATAACCAAGTCCATAATGCGCTTTAACTCCTCTTTAACATAAATATAATAATAATTAAAACATAAACAAATTAGTATCCTAATTATTAAACAATAGAATATTGTTAAACAATACTAATACTAAAAATAATATCATATAATTAAAACTAATAAAAAATTTCACTATGATAAACTATTAATACTAATAATACTCTAAAATTTACTCATAGGCTAAATGGAACTTTTTAGTCCCATATTTATTCTGAATATAATCAATCCATCTTCTCCAAACCGAAATGTATCTTTCTTGTGAGTGATCCTTTAAATAGGCAGAAATCTTAGCCATTTCTGCTAAATTTGACACTTTAAGCGTCCATTCTTCTATAGTAGGCAAGCAATCCTTCTTCCAATATTGCCCTACTAATATCCTTGCATGGTGACGTTTCTTTATGGTTAACTTGTCTCCCTTAATCACAGCTGAGAGACGTAGGTTTTCTATTTTTTTAAATTCCAGCAGAAAAGAAGGGATTTTTCGCAGGTAGAACTTTAGTTTCTAGCCAATTTTGGCTGATCTCCCCCCCCCAAAAAAAAAATCTAAGCAGGGACGTACCAGTTAATATTTGAAAGGGAGAAGAACTGGACACCCCAGGGCTGGAGTGTGCTGGAGATGGGGAAGTTTTAAAACAAAATTGGTTTTAAACTGTCCTTGGATGTTAAACTGCTTTGGCCATTCCAAAGGGCTCTTGTGATACAGCAGTTTGATATTTTGCTGTCAGCCATACTGGAGGCAGAAAATTCTTTAGGCAAACAAAGGCAGTCTGGGCATGTTGAATGATTGGGCCACATCTGTGTATATTGTACACCGTGGTGGTGCAGTGATTCGAATGCAAGCTAACTCCCTGCTCACTCCAGGAGTTTGATTCTGAATGGCTCAAGATTGACTCAGCCTACCATCCTTCGGAGGTCATGAGAACCCAGATTGTTGGGGGCAAAATGCTGACTCTGTAAGCCACTGTAAAGCACGGTGAAGCGGTTTATAAGTCTAAGTGCTATTGTTACCGTGTATGCTATTGTATGCATAGATATATTTGTTGTTAGTTGCAAAGTCGTGTCTGATCCATCGCGGCCCCATGGACAACGTTCCTCCAGGTCTTCCTGTCCTCTAGATATATAGATATATAGGTATCTACTTATAGTAAATTCCTATTCACCTATAGTAAATTACTATTCTTTATATAACCAGATTAAATTTACCTGAAGTCCCTCTCGGCACTCCAATCCCAAAACAACACAAAGTGTTGCTGAAGTTTGCAGATGGAGCTTTTGCACAGAGTTGGCCCTATTAGGATGTCGTGATGTTCTTATATCTTTTTTCTTGAAATTTATTTTGATATTTTTAAGGGACCGGTCCCATCGTAAAGGATAAAGGCAACCGCTTCCATACTGTTGGACAGGACCTGAGCCAACCCCAAGAGACTTTGGTGTTATTTTACAGCCCATCTCAGTCCTATATAACAAGTGTCTTCCCTCACGTAGCTATGTGATTCAGGAGGGCCAAGGAGTTGTAAGTGCTTGTGCATTCAGCCATCCTAACCCACGGGACAAGCATTCTTCGCCCCAGTTCCGCTGCTTGTTTTGAAACTACACCCGACTCCTGCATTTAAGCTGGTGCATTTTCTTGGAACATCAGTCAACCTTTCAACAGTTGGTGTGCTAGGCCTAGTTGTGTTTAATCCTGGTGGGTTGAATAAACCACTGTGTCTGCATATGGTACTAAGCCTGGCCAAAGAAACTGCATTTGGCTTAGTGTAAGTGGCTGGATCCAGAAACTGTGCACCATAGGCTTAAGATACAGGAGGATCTTAACAGACTTGAACATTGGGCACTATCTAAAAAAATGATATTCAGTGGTGAAAAAAGTAAAGTTCTACATTTAGGCAAGAAAAAACAAATGTACAGGTATAGTATAGGTCAGTGGTGGTGAACCTATGGCACGGGTGCCAGAGGCGGCACTCAGAGCCCTCTCTGTGGGCACACGCGCCGTCACCCCAGTCCTAGGCCTTCAGCTGGGTTTTATAAAACCTTTTTGCTTTAGGCCTCCACCGCCATGTGCAAAAAAAAAGAGGTTCAATCAATCAGTCAATTTCAACTTCTCGCAGGAAAAAAAAGATCTTGCAAATTTGGAATTGATTGATTGAACTTTTTAGTCCCACCCAGTCTGCCATTACCACTGCAGCCACGCCCACCCAATGGGGCCACACCCACCCAATGGGCCACACCCACCCAATGGGCCACACCCACCCAGCACCCGACGATGCATAAGTGGGTTTTGGGTTGCAGTTTGGGCACTAGGTCTCTAAAAGGTTCGCCATCACTGGTATAGGTGGTACCTTGCTCAATAGTAGTAACTGTGAGAGGGATCCCGGAGTCCTAGTGGACAATCACTTAAATATGAGCCAGCCGTGTGCTGCAGCTGCCAAAAAAGCCAACATAGTGTTAGGCTGCATTAACAGAGGGATAGAATCAAGATCACGTGAAGTCTTAATACCACTTTACAATGCCTTAGTAAGGCCACACGTGGAATCCTGCATCCAGTGTTGGTCACCACGATGTAAAAAAGATGTTGAGACTCTAGAAAGAGTGCAGAGAAGAGCAACAAAGATAATTAGAGGTCTGGAGGCTAAAACATACAAGGAACGGTTGCTGGAATTGGGTATGTCTAGTTTAATGAAGAGAAGGACGAGGGGGGACATGATAGCAGTCTTCCAGTATCCCAGGGGCTGCCACAAAGAAGAGGGAGTCAAGCTATTCTCCAAAGCGCCTGAAGGCAGGACAAGAAGCAACGGGTGGAAACTAAGCAAGGAGAGAAGCAACCTAGAACTAAGGAGAAACTTCCTGACAGTGAGAACGATTAACCAGTGGAACAACCTGCCTCCAGAAGCGGTGAATGCTCCAACACTGGAAGTTTTTAAGAAGAGACTGGACAGCCTCTGGGTTGAAGTTGGTTATTTCTAGCTGGCATATTTAAACTTTTCTAATTTTTACATGCATGTTTTTTTGTGCTTTTGTTGTGCTACTTACCCAGAATTGTTTGAGTAGGAGGGGCAGATATATAGATATATTTGCATAATGAATACAGGAGTCAATGCTTAAATGTAATTAGATGGTTCTATCTAGCCATATTTACAGCGCTTGCTGACAACACAAATCCATTTTGGTTAAAAAAAAAACAACCCATCTTTATCTGGTTTGAAATCAGGACTATAGTTTTTTTTAAAAATTAAATAAATGTTCCTTTGTTATTACTATGGAACAATGTTTCAGAAGCCCAATAAATTTGCACAGAAACTGCTATCAAAGGATAAATAAAGGCGGAGGGATTGCAGCCTGATTAACATTAGTTGTGAGTGTCTTTTTCCAGAGCGAGAATNATAATGTTGAGTCATTGCAACGAGAGAGAACAGTGGCCGGATCAAACAGATTGTGCTCGCCAAGGACTCCAGCCTTGTTTGCTTCTATTAGAGCTAAAAGAATCGCTAACCAGAGACAGATTCAAGAAACAGGAATGTAGAATAAGGAGCTGGCCACGTTCCCAGGCCTAAGAATCTGCAGAATAAAAAGAGACTTTGCACATGCCAGTCAATCCAGGGGAATCAGCAGCCCACTTCTGCTTGCTTTTAGAGATTATCTTCATGATTATGCTGTTGTTTGAGCCAAAAACGTAGGTCAAGGGTGGGTGCAGCCCCTCTTGAACTAAACTAAGCCAGATTCTTTTTTGATTTGCATGACCGGCAAGAATTTGACTGCAGTGCAGCACAGGCTTGCAAGACGTTCTCCTTTTGACATTCTCCTTTTGACGTTCTCCTTTTGACGTTCTCCTTTTGACATTCTCCTTTTGACGTTCTCCTTTTGACGTTCTCCTTTTGACATTCTCCTTTTGACGTTCTCCTTTTGACGTTCTCCTTTTGACATTCTCCTTTTGACGTTCTCCTTTTGACGTTCTCCTCCCTTTTCCTTCGTCATCTCGGTGGCGCCTTTCCCAAACCACTGTGAAAAAGCAAAATGGGAATTGTGCTGTCTTCACAGTCGTGTGAACCGCTGCAGAGAGGCTAGAAGCAGAATCACCGGCTCCACCAGAACCTCTACCGCTTTGGACAAACCCGTGAGATGACTCTGAATATTTCACATGCAGGCCCCACGGACCGACTCGACGTGAGAACGGCGTTCCGGAGAGGAGTTAGGAAAACATGGTTTTCCTTTCAGCCGAAGTGAAGCGCCACAGTAGAGGAAGATGGAGACATGTTTGCTTGCTCCTGTCTGCTGGTGGTCCAAGATCCTTGCTCTTCCCAATCTTAGGGTTATTTACTTTAAATCAAATTGGGAAGAATAACCCTTTCAGCAGAAAAAAACAGTGTCCGCTGACACCGCTTCAAACGGAGAGCCGTGGTGTAACGTCGGCCACCTAGCTAGCTTTTTCTCCTTCTCCGGTGAGAATAAAAAACAAGAGCTGAAATCTGGAATCTGTTTTGTTTGTGGGTTTTGTATTTGAACACATATTCAATCCTGCCACTTGTCTGAAGTGCTACATTCATCTTGAAAGCAGGAAAGTCATTTTATCTGATGACTCACCCGCTGGTAAGCTGTCCTGGCACTGCAAATCTTAATGGAGGATTTTTTTAAAGCAAAACTAATCAATTATTTTCTCTCTCCCCCCCCCTCTCTCTCCTCTCTCTTCTCCCTCTCCCTCTCCCTCTCCCTCTCCCTCCCTCCCTCCTCTCTTTACAGGCACAAAAACCAAAGAAGGTATGGTGCAAAGTGTCACTTCCGGTAAGTGTTTTGAATGAGTGACATCCTCTCCTGTCTTCCTAAACCAGGGGTAGGCAACTTTGGCTTATGACTCGTGGACTTCAACTCCCAGAATTCCTGAACCAGCATGGCTCAGTATGGAAACCTCTCCCTTTCCCCTCAGCATGGCTGGCTCAGGAATTCTGGGAGTTAAAGTCCACGAGTCATAAAAGAGCCAAGGTGGCCTACCTCTGGCCTACACCAATGTATGGCTTGCATAAATACAAGGGAATTCGCTTATTTTCCAAAAATCGATCCATCTACTAACATTATGAATGTTCATACAGCGTGACATTAGAAAGATAGAGATAAAGGCCCAATATCTCCAGGTCTGCATCTGTTGGTGGTATTAGCACAATTTTTATTTGCTTTGGATGAATCACTTATCAATATAGATTATCAATAGACGATTGTAATGAAATATGGCCATTGTTCCATGAAATGCTTGTTATAGAACATATATCTGCAACATATATCTTCTTCTTCTTCTTCTCCTCCTCCTCCTCCTCCTCCTCCTCCTCCTCCTCCTCCTCCTCCTCCTCTTCTTCTTCTTCTTCTTCTTCTTCTTCTTCTTCTTCTTCTTCTTCTTCTTCTTTCTTTTGTCCTTTTGTTCTTGTGCAAGTTTTATTTGCCTTTCTCTTACTTTGTGGCACTCAATCAATAAAAGCAAAAGCAAACAAGAATTATGGTATAATGTGATTTATTTTTAGTTTAGAGAGAAAACAAGGTTATAGCCCCAGTGATGTCCACATCAAGAGAAACTAGAAGTAAGCCAATTATGTTATGACTGAATCTTTAATATGAGCATGTATCAACCTGCCATTTTCTGGCTAAAAGACCATTTCAGTTATCCACGACACATGTTTGCGCTGGGTGGACAAAAGCTACACTTTCACTCATGCAAAACTTCAAAATGGTTTGCCACATTTTTGAAGAATAATTACCAGCATGTTGTCCATGCGAAAAAATGATTGATGCGCTCATGGAGAGAACAAGGAAGTCTTGGTCCTTCTCTTTCAACATCAGAAGAGGGAAGGCATCTCAGCAGCTCTCAAGAAAGTTACTCCAAGTCAGAGAGAGGAAATGATCCATTAGAGTCTTTCTAGTAGGTCGACTCAAGAATGTCTTCTGAGGGGAGGACCAGATGGTGTTCCTCAATCCACTTATGCAATTTCCTTCATCCTTCCACTTCAGGGCTTTGTCATGCTATATTCTGAAAGCTGGTTTAGACTTGAGACATTCTTGGGGGTGGTCTTAAATCTCCATCAAGAGTCCAGAAAGTACACAATGATGGCTGAACAATCTGCCTCCAGACATTTTTGGGCTTGTGGAGGTCACCAAAACAGATGCTGGTTGTAAGACGTAGGTTGCAAAAATCCAATCCTTTGATCCTTTCAGAACTGACCTCCCCTGAAAGATCACAGATAATCTTAGTAGCTTCCAACCACATCTGAAGAAGTGGGACTTTCACCTTATCTTGATTCATCCTCTCAGTTTCTTTCTGCTTCAACTACAGTTGCTGAGAAGACCAAAGAACAGGCCAATCTCGTGGGAGATACTATGGTGAGCAGCGTGAACACAGTGGCAAAGCAGACGGTGGAAGGAGCGGAGACCGTTGTAACCACCAGTGGACTGGTCAAAAGGGTAGGTGTGATCTGTCAGTTTTGCCCCACGAATGAGACTTTACCATGTTCCTAACACTTTGCCTGTGAGGTAAGTCCACTGTGGGTGTGGTGATATTTGCCGCGAGAAACCATCCAGTTGAATGACCTCTGATCCCACAGGAATTCTTTAAAGAATGTTTAAATTCTTCAAATTCATAACTAGCGATAGCTTTGTTTGGAAGTAGGATGCCATGCCTAGAAATTATATTTTGGTTGGGTAGGGTAGATTCTGAAAAATGAGATGGTTCTCTTCTAACGTATTAGGCTGGCTGGACTTTGGGTCGTGAGCTCTTGATTTTGAGGGTGGCTGTGTCCATGTTTCGTGTCTCTCAATATGTCAAAGTTGTCAAATTTATATTGGCTTGGGGAAAGAAGGAACACACGGTGCAACACATCTTCTTCCTGTAATTGTGCTCCAGTTCAGAAAGAAAAGGGGGAAAATAAATCTCAAGATGCTCCTTTCCTGCCAGGTTAAAAATAGAACATGAGTCAGAGACATGAAGTCATGATGTGGGATGCAGAGCCCAAGAGAAACAAACAGAGGATGTGATTCTTAAGCCACCATTCGTAATTAGAGATGAGCTTGAAGTCTTCCTCCAGGCCAAGGAAACAGACAGACAATTGTTTGTATCCAAAATGGATGCTTGCCTCATTCGTGGATAAGTTGTTGAGGAGGCAGGGCAGGTAGATATAAGGGAAAGAGCTCAATCAATTCCTTTCCTGGTTCCTAAATTTAAACAATTAACTCCATGTATCATAGCAGTCAGCAGAGACATCACCCTGCCAACGAAAGTATGTATAGTCAAGGCCATGGTTTTCCCAGTTGCAATGTATGGCTGTGAAAGTTGGGCCATAAGAAAGGCTGAGGGCCAAAGAATTGAGGCCTTTGAACGATGGTGCTGGAGAAGACTCCTGCGAGTCCCCTGGACTGCAAGACCATCAAACCGGTCAGTCCTAGAGGAGATCAACCCCGACTGCTCTTTAGAAGGCCAGATCCTGAAGTTGAAACTCAAGTACTTTGGCTACCTAATGAGAAGAAAGGACTCACTGGAGAAGAGCCTGATGCTGGGAAAGACGGAGGGCAAGAGAAGAAGGGGACGACAGAGAATGAGGTGGCTGGATGGAGTCACTGAAGCAGGAGGCGTGAGCTTAAATGGACTCCAGAAGATGGTAGAGGACAGGAAGGTCTGGAGGAACGTTGTCCATGGGGTCGCGATAGGTCAGACACGACTTCACAACTAACAACAACAAGAAATCATAGCAGTCATATGGGAGACCACCAGGAGTCTTCAGATGGATGGGGAAGTGAAAAAGAAAATAAAAAACAAGAGTCCAGTTGTATCCAAACAGACAGCCAAAACTGAGTTTGAAGTTCAGCAGCAACAGGATGGGAGATGACTGTATAGTTGCATTGATTGTCTGTCTGCAACAGAAAAAAACAAAACAGTACACTGTGTGATATAGCAAATAGCATTCAACTTGAGTAAGCTTTTCAGTCTTTAAAGTCTATGTGCCTGGCCCTTTTGTACAGAAGAACATTCATGGGTCACCTCAGCCCAGCATTTTGTTCCAGAGGTATGCTCTCAACCCTTGCTGAGCAATCTGGGAACTGCAGTCCATACCCATCTGGAAGCTAGCCAGAATGAGAAAACCTGATTTGAAGGAATTTGCTCCAGCCTTCTTCTGGTCTTTGTGGCATCTGATGATACTTGATCTGTTCTTGTGTATTCTGTAGGATGACCTACATCCAGATCAGCATGAAAACCAGCCTGCTGGAGCTGGAGAAGAAGACATCTCAGTAGAAGCCACGGAGGTAAATCTCAGCTAGGCTATCCCCAGAATCTTTGATTGGGTGGGGGGTGAAGGGGTGTCAGGAAGTATCTAAAAATTCAAGATCACAAATATGTGATCAAAAAACTCTACTGTTCTTCACTTCCCTGTTGAGTTGGTTACCCTTTCTGTTCTCCATAAAGCGATTGCAGAACTTTGCTCTGCTGATTTCAAAATACTTCCTTCTGTTTTTTTTTCCTTTCCCACCTCTCTCTCTCACCCACCCCCACCCCAATTTCTAGACTATTTTGATATTCTGTTTAGCTGGGGGTGACAATTAAGAGTTGAAAGTAGATTAAAAATTCTTCAACTTCAACCATTGACTATCTGTGACCCTCCAGAGGGAGTCCAATAACACCCACACTAATTCGGTGATCGTAGATTATTGATTGAATCATTAATTAATGATATCGATTTGGCTTAATGTTAATAATAAAGGCAAGTCATTTCTTGAGATTTATTTAGCAGAACTCTTCTGGACTAAGCATGTTAATAGCTCAGAATGGCTTTTTTTTCGGACAAAAAGCCTCATTAAAGGATGGATCTACTTATTTACGTGTGTATACAAATCACAATTGATGCGGTCATTTTAATAATGTCATGCTTCTTACAATGCTATATTATTGCTGTTTAAATGGCGGCATTCAAGGTAGTTAACTCTAAGTCTTCTTCTTTTTTTTTTATTAAAAATTTTATAAAGTTTTACAATATAAATCCTCCCCTTCCCCTTCCCACCCTTCCACCCCCCCTCCCTCCCCCCTCACTTCCCAGTGCCAATCACAGGGTTAACAATAACATAATCATACTCTAATTAACATTAATCAACTATTAAAATAACATATCTATAACCAACTCTAAGTCTTCTTAATATAGACTTTAAAGAAATATGGAAATACACCAGGCATCTGTATTTGCCTATTGTTCTTGTTCTTGTTGCTATCATTGCCCTAGCAGTAGTAGCAGTCTTAATTATGTTTTTATACTGCACCAAATAATTAAGGTTCTTTGTAGCTTGCAACCAGATTTACAGAATATATCCACAGTAAAGAAAAAAACAATTGCAGTAAACAAATCAATCCAGCTCATAAACCTAATAATAACCAAATCCAACTCATTGGAGTTTATACTCGAGGCTCTACTGCCCAGCTATGTTTTGATATCCACACCTGAGTGGGGTGGGTGAGTTCTGGGGAAGATGCCTTAACTTATTTTCCTGGTTTTTTTTCCCCCTTCTTAGGGTGAAGGAAATTAACCTTCTCTAGAACTTCTACTACATTACGAAAAAATGAGAAGACCAGGAATCAACGCAGACCTGCTAGAGGTTGCAAACAGCAGGGAAATCTCTACTAACCCTAAGCTAACTTCACACAGCACGAGCAATGCTCACTTACCTAATTCTCACTATCCTAGCTGGGTGGCCAACTCTTTGATTGTACGTTTTAGGGCAATTCTACGCATCTCCCGTTGTGTCTCCTTTGTGGCTTCCTTCTTTGCCCTTCTTTGAGCCTTCCAAAGTGTGGTTTGAGAGCCATCTCACACTCTTGGGGTTGGAATCACTGATTAATATCTTTTGGCTCATTAGTACCGACCCTTGATTTCCCTAGAAAGGGCGGATGTTTTTTTTTTTTAAGAGACAAAATAAAATCTTGTTTCAACTAATCCCTTGTTCTTCTATTTCTTTTTTTAATTCGTCGGCCTGGATATAAGAATTGTCTGCTCACTAGTTTGCGATCATAATGTTGTGATTCTGTGCCAGCCTGTGCTCCTGGCAGTTGAGTCTGGGGAATCAGAGGAGGAGGAGGAGGAAGAGGAGGAGGAGGAGGAGGAGCCTGGGGAGCCATCAGAGTCAGAAGGAGGCTCTGATGAGCTACACTACAGGACTTACACACTGATGAAGAGGCTGGCCCTTCCACTCGTGAGAGCCAGCTGTGCTGTGAAGTGGAGTCGGACTCGGAAGAAGCACAGCTGAAAGAACTCAGAGACGCTTGTAAACGCAGGCAGGCCACACGAGTAGTTCAGAGGGAGGCAATGGGGCAGCTCCAGGGGAAGAGGGGAAAGCAGTGAGAAGCCACGCCTTGCGGGGCTGTGTAACAAAAAGGGAATGTGTGGGCAGGGCTGGTTGCTGGAGCCAACCGTTTGCAAAGAACTTCAGTGTCAAGAGATCCTGGTCTGTTTGTTTTGCCTGTGAATTATTTCTTGTTTTGACTCATCCTCTGTTTTGCTTTTGAACAAACTATCCATTGGAAAAGTGTTCTGTTGCTTTTGTTTTGTGGGGAAATGATCAGAACTGTATATCAAATAAAAAGGGTTGATTTTTTCCAGCCTACTATTAAAAGAAGGGTTGTCTTGTGAAGTAACAAGGACGTACGTAAGCTGGGACAGAACACATAAGAAGGCCTATGGGGACTTTGGGGAATGAGAAATAGCGTAAGGGCCGCATTATTTCCGATTTTCTTTTTTTTTAAGAAATACAAAATACAGTTACAACCTCAACTTTTTTGCTCGGCACGTTTAATAGGTTTCCTGTTAGCAACGGCATCATCTACTAGATCAGTGGTTCTTAACCTGGGCAATATCGCCCCCCCAGGGGGCGATTTCATTTTTCAGGGGTGTGATGGAACAAAAAGGGGCGACGTGGGGGCGAAGGAATGAAAAGGGGGCCATATGGGGGCGATGGAACGAGACTTTTGGGGGACACTTTTGAGACTTTTTCGTACAGTGAATCGCTGTATATCTGTCGTACAAAAACATCAGATCGCTCGCTATTAGTGGATTGAATTGTGTTTTCAAATGTTCCTCCAGCTAGCTTCAGTACAGAACACCGTACATATGTGAATACGCATCGCTTATCTTCATGCGCGTTGCGCAGCAGCCTCTACCCTTTTTATATTTCTTTTTGCGTCTTAAATTTCACTTGTAATTCAATCATTAAATATTACTGTTTTTCTTTTCGGGCATTTCACTTTCTTGCAATTGAATTTTGTTTTCAGTGGTCATTACAGTTAAGTGTCTTGAATAAATAAGATAATAATGAAATACATGTACCACGAAGTTTGGGAATAAAGTGACGGGTGGCACCAAAAATTTTTCACACAGTTGAGATATGGGGAAAAGACTGGAAATAAATTATTTGCATCGATATGTCCTGATGACAATTTTAAAGAAAACAAAACAAGTGTTTGCATAAATTGAATAATTATTTCCTATGTTGTGATTGAGAGGTTATGTTGGGGGAGGGGGGCGATGACAACTTCCTCATTGGCTCAAGGGGGCGATTCTTCAAAAAGGTTAAGAACCACTGGACTAGATGACAGGAATAACCTCCTTCCATCATTTCAAGGTGGGAGCAGATGCGATTCATGCCCTTTTTGTGATGACTTGACGACACACGCATTGCCGCTTGTTCCCCACGGGGATGCCAGTGGCCAGAAGAGTCGGCTCAACTCATTTGTAGGGAAACTTCCTAAACAGCTTGACGGGAATTTTTATCGCAGTCCAAATTTCCAGGCAGGAAAGCGAACAACGGAACGTTCAGCGAAAGGTCAATGGAAAGGGAAGGGAATCCGAACAACTGGAAAAGATCCTGTTTTTAGAAGGATGAGGTAGTAATTGTGAAAAGGCACCTAGGACTGAAACCTCAGATACTGTATATTTAGAGAGTGTGAGCTCCAGGAGAGGGGGAAAAAAGCTCCTATAGATCCTTACCAATCCAACATGGTTAGTGAATGTATTTTCAGGGACATCCAGGAACATACCAGCGTGTACATAACATAATGCAAGTCCTTCACAGACACAAATCCCTCCTTCCACTCAACTGTCCAACTTCGGCTAACATCAACCCAACTTGTTGCTTCTTGATATTTCAATGTCTATCAGGTTTCTCCTTCATTCCTACAGAGCTCTCCCTCCCGTTGCTACTACACACGTGTAAAGATAACAATCTCCTGTCCGTCATGCCTGAGAGCTAGTAATTTTATGGGCGTATCCATTTGGTTTTGCCATTTGTTGTCCGGTCGCTAAGTGGTGTCCAATCCTTTGCACCTCATGGACCAGAGTATGCCAGACCCCCCTGTCCTCCACTGTCTCCCAGAGTTTGCCCAAATTCACATTCATTGCGTCAATGGCCCTTTCTGACCATCTCATCCTCTGCCTTCAATGGGTTCGCCATGATCTAGGTCTAATTTATTTTCCTATTTTTCTTTTTTCATGTCTTAGTCTAGCCTACAACCCTGGGATTTCATGGTGGAGTCCCCTTCAGATGCTAAGCAATTTTGCCTGGGTAGGCTTCTTCTCTTAAAGCTTCACTGGGTGCTGCTGTTTAGCTGGGTCTTCAACCAGGTGCACTGCTATTAACAGGACTCTTCCAACGGCATCAGTGTACTTTATGGTTTATTTGTATTCAGAGTTAAGGATTTTTTTTTAAAAAAACCACAATATTATGAATGCAAAGCGGAGTGAAGAATCCACTGGCTTTGTTACTCTATGTTCAGAAAAAAACATCTTTTCAAATACTGTTTGAACTTAGTGTGTGTATCAAATGCACCAAAAAAAAAAAAAAATGCTTCACCAGGAATCACTGATGTAAAGTTGCCAGGAGATACTACACAATATTTTGCAAACAATCCAGTTCAGTACAGATCCAAACTTGCACTGCAGATTCCCCAATTTAAACATCACAACCGTATACTTTTCTGGCTAAAAGCTGAAACTTTCTAGTACAAAACTCACAGCCTGCTTATTTTGCTTGCTTCTGTTTACCATGTTTATTTCTCATCTCTTCTGAGAAGTTAACGTGTGTGTGTGTGTGTGTGTGTGTGTGTGTGTGTGTGTGTGTGTGTGTCCAATTCCCCAGAATCTGGGGAATTGAACTTCATGTTGAACTTAATGTTCAATTTCCAATCTCCAGTGGCTGTTTGCTCTTTTCTCCTTACTGAAAGTCCAGCTCAAGAGATTTGAGCCATTAAAGGCCAGTTCGGTGCCGCATTAAATGCTGAGAAAGCATGCCTGATTTACCAAAATAAACCACTTGGATAATGCAATTGCCTACGTCAATATTGGCAATACTACCGATGGAGCGTAAAGACCATTGGCCTAACCCCAACACAGCTGAACTGGAAGTTCAGCTTTGGCTTAGGAAAATCCAAAGAAGAAAGCAAGCGTTATGGATTAATTATCAATAATTTCAGGGATATTATTTATTCCCCTCTAAGTTATTAGGCCATTATTCATCCAGCTCAGCCTTTGCTGAACTCTGGAGGAGTGACTACAATTACAAAAACGATATTCTCAATGCTGATTGTTGGCTGGTGGTGATTTTGGTCAATGCCGATACGATTATCCTTGTCACTTCACTGGCTATTAATGGGTTACTAGTGACAGATTTTATCTTCCTGGGCTCCAAGATCACCACAGATGGGGACGGCAGCCAAGAAATTAAAAGACGCTTGCTCCTGGGGAGGAAAGCTATGGCAAATCTAGACAGCATACTAAAAAGCAGAGACATCACCCTGCCAACAAAAGTACGGATAGTCAAGGCCATGGTTTTCCCAGTTGCAATGTATGGATGTGAAAGTTGGACCATAAGAAAGGCTGAGCGCAAAAGAGGCCTTTGAACTATTCATTTATTTATTTATTTATTTATTATTCGAATTTATATCCCGCCCTTCTCCTTGCGGACTCAGGGCAGCTGACAATCGATTAAAAACACCACTAACAATTACAAAATTAAAATTAATTAAAATGAAATATTTAAATTGTCTGATTAAAATGTAATTAAAAACCCCTCTAAAAACCCCTCTTAAAAATTGCCCTAGGCCAGTCCCGCTTGTTGGAATAGCCATGTCTTGATGGCGCGGCGGAAGGAAGGGAGATCAGGGATCACCCTGATCTCTGGGGGTAGCTCATTCCAGAGGGTGGGAGCTCCCACAGAGAAGGCCCTCCCCCTGGGGGTCGCCAGCCGGCACTGTCTGGCCGACGGCACCCTGAGGAGACCCACCCTGTGGGAGCGTACTGGCCGATGGGAGGTAATCTGTGGCAGAAGGCGGTCTCGAAGGTATCCTGGTCCGCTGCCATGGAGCGCCTTAAAGATGATAGTCAGCACCTTGAAGCGCACCCGGAAGGCCACCGGCAGCCAATGCAGCTCGC